CCGAGGCTCGATCGACTGTGGGAGAAGGAAACCAACCTTCGGATCCATTGCATCTTCCCTGGGGGTTAAGATAAAACGGTAAGACGAAAATAGAACTATGTATTCAGACTCAGATGGACAACGGCTCAATGTGTGCGCAACTAGACTTCGTACAGAGCTTCATTTTATCATTCACTGCTCTGTCCTTTAAAGGCGCGCAAGCGCAGGTAACTTTCATGAGGCGTTCTAGAGAACCGTATAAGTATGTATAAATCCCACGGGTGCCGGATAGACAACAGACAAGCACAGAGGGTTGTTACGTTATTGGATTTCGCGTGACCACGTCCCAAGGACTACGGAATGACGCTAAAGATTATAGTGCAACATTAACCAAACATATACAAGCAAGAGATATGGAGTGTTTCATTCAAAAAACATTTTGGGGAATACTATATCAGAACTTTGGACGAATAATCGTTCGGAATCCACTAGAAACTTATTTAGTAGATGAAAGAGTAGCAGGTGAGGCTTGTCTAGGATATATTAGAAACCATAATGCAAAGATGACAGTTTACAGCGGGTTGGTTTACAGGCTGTACAGTCTTTAACGCTGTGCCGATTTGGGGCGATCAATCCCAGACACCAATCTGATCTACCGGTAAAGTAGAGAGTGACGGAACAACAACTGTTTCAAAGAATTAAAAAGAGAATGGTATGCAAAGTGACAGTGAGAAGTGGTAACACCCAGCGAGATCTTCTCATCTTCCCATCAGGACGTGATCAACCGTAAACGTTACACTTTACAGTTTTGCCAACCATTACCCATTCACTTCCGTGAGCCGGTTTTGGTTGCTATCTTTTGGCTGCCCATTTCGATAAACGAGTAGAAGGAAGATTGGAATGTTAAGAGTAGAGTTAAAGGGAAGATAGAGAATTCATATAGACTGACTGGGTAAGCCATATCACGCAGTGTCTCTGACCACCGGTTACCATGATCTCGGGGTCCCCAGCCAGAGAGCCTAACGGGACCTATGTGACCCAGTCCCCTGGTTAGGACTCTCATATCTTCGTGCAAAGTCTTAGCTTGACCACTCTTGGCATTTTCCACCTACTACCAGCAAACATCGCGCGCCATGGCAACCTATTTGGTGACATGCATAGGACACTCCAACCAACGTAATCTATAGAGATCGACCATATGCTTCAGTGGGCGACCGCAGTTACCTAAAACTCTGCTTCTAACCTCAGTGTTGTTTGTCGGGTTTCCCCACCAGAATTGTGCAACGCTGCGTAGACGGCTGGGTTCGAACACCGATAATCTATTTTCATCCTGTTCCCGTAATGGTCAAGTCTCTGCACCGCAGAGCAGAACTGGAGGAACTATAGAAGCATACACTCGACCCTTCACAGAGAGCCGGATGTTGCGACGGTGCCACAGATGTCTCAAGTTGGCAAATGCTAACCAAACCTTCTGTAAGGGTGCCAACAATTTATCTGTGACGCATGAACCAAGTGAGACTGCACATTTTGCGGAGTTGAAGCTGGTCGAAGCCGGAAAACGCTAAAGTTACGATTGCCATTGGATCATAGGAGAGGGTCGGACTAAACCCCGAGGCCTTGAATTGGCGAGTTGCACAAATCCCCACAAGGATAAGCGAGGCGTCGATTCGGAGAACAATAAAGCCGCCTACCATTAAAGTCGAGGTGTTCTCACCTCGGGCATAAAGGGCAGAGGCAAAGAAGTGATAATGTCCTGAACCACGTGATCACCCCTGGGCAGGGCAGAGAGAGAAAGTGAGGAAAGAGGTGTACTGGCTATTGGTCAGTTTTCCCCCTTATCAGTGTTGAACAGCCTAAACAGTTGAAAGTGTGAAAAGAATAAATCAAAGAAAGATTTCCGGCATGAAAACGGCATTAAATACCCTAATTCAAACTGTTTGAAACGGAACAACGAAGACGGGGAAAAATTATTGAGCTGCAACCCGGAAGGCCTATTATTCTAGTCTCCTTTGGCACAACGCTGTATGAGAGGAATGGAGGATTTGGTTTGATTAGTTGATCAATTCCTCGTG